TTATGTCAATTAAGAATTACAGGAAATGGTACATTGGTTAACAAAAATAGTGAATGTATTAGTGATTAATGCCTAGCAGATTAAGGTGACAAGTTAACTGGATCTATAGTCCCATTCGCAGATTCTAATATCAAAATTAGTTGCACTACTTCTTGCCTTGGTGGAAACTAGAAAGGCTAGCTGAATAGTTTTCATGCATGTAAAATGCTACCTGTGTTGAGTTGGACGACAAACTCTGTCAAAAGACACCACCTAATTGATTCTTCTGAAAGAGAACAATAATTTCCCTTTCCTGACTGTTGTTTGTCAAAAAGAAAGAAGAGAAAACGTCCAATTGAGAGATAAAAGTTTATTAGAATATCGAATATGTAGGCCTGTCTGTATTGCCGGATAAGTTTTAAAGGGTGATTAATTAGGGAGTTGGTAGCCAGGAGTACCAGTTACTAACTAGATGCCTTTTTTTTTTTTTTTTTGGCATCATTGTGGGTATCTGGGCCATAAACTGGTAATACCGTACGGCCCAACTAATCCCACAGCGGGCTAGGAGCGGCCTGCCCAAGCATCACCAGCCACGGTAGTAGCCGGGATTCGATCCCTGACGTGGCTCTCCCCAACTGGGACTACAACCATGGGACCGAACCCGGAGGGGCAACTAGATGCCTTTCTGTGGCTACCATTACGCGTAATCACTGTTTCGAGCCATCTACAGCAAAATAGTAAGGGTGCCATAACATTTATGTTTGAGCAAATGACCAAAAAAAAAAAAAAATCACTTAACTCATAATAATGTACATTTTTTTAGCCATTTTGTTGAATTTCACTGTTAAAATGGCCATAAACCTTAAATAATATCTATGCGAGCAATGCACTTAAATGTTCAAAGGCAAAAATGCCTCATAACATAACCTCTGACGCGTAATAGAGAGAAGATCAAGTATCTTTTGAGTTGCCAAACTTCATCAATTCCTGAGTAGTGTTAGTGATCAAACTTGCAATCTTAGATAGCCAAGTGACGTGTTTTGCCGTCCATGTTCCATTATAGCAGCCTCATTATTCATTCATAGTGTTAATTTTCCGCTTTACATAAAGGGTGGGTGCCCAAAAACTGAAGCTGACACTTAAATCATAAATAAATGTCAGGTACCGATGATTGGGCCATTCGGCAAAGAACATAATAGGCAGCAATTCAATCCTCGTCTGGTTGTTCGTCGCTTGAAAAGGTTGGTTACGCATCTTTACCGAAGAAGGAATGCTGAACATCATAGGCCATTTGAAAGCGCAGGATTAATCATAATCCATGAGTTTGCTGCCCTTCTTCCTTTTTTTTCGTAATTTTTTTTGGCGACATATGAAAGTCTGCTTTCAAATGGTACGTTTTCAGAAATGCTTCTTGCGATAGTCGGTTACGTCTTGGACTTAATGTGAAAGACGAAAAGGACTCGAGGATAACCATTACCATTTTGTTTGAACTTCGCTTTTCTTCAATCTGCTCAATCGAGATACCAAATCGTCCCTAACAATTCCCATACGATATAATACTAGTGTCTTGTTGGATGTGAATTTAAGGAGTAAGGAGGAGGGGCGTTGGTTGCACATTTAATGTGGGAATAGAAATATTCAAGCTAGCTAGCATCTCTGCGTCTGAAACCATGTCAGTAGTAAGTATCAGAGTCACATTTGGTCAGCAAGATTTACTGATTGAAATTAAGGGGGCAAAAAAACAAAAACAAGAACTTTGTCCTCTTCAGAGATTCAGGATTCGTTAAACAAAAAGAAGGATATCTGGCCTGGCCCCAGTAAGAGTACTCCATATAGCTTTGTTTGTTCTTCTGGTTTCTTCTTTCCTACGCGCAAAACAGCGGCAAAGATAAAGAGTTGAATATATAAGCTCGCAGCTTTAGGTTGACGGTTCAATTAAGAATTGTTTGCGCCAGAAAAAAAAAAAAAAAGATGCTTTAAGTAGAAATTTTGCTTTTGCAATGCATCCTTTTACCCTCTCAAATGAAAATTAAAATTTATGATTAATCTTGAAGACTTAGGAGCAAATTTACCCTCTCCATCTTCTCTTTTGTGTGTGTGTGTGTGTGTTCTTCAACTATTGAGTTTTTGGTACATATACTAATCCCGTGAACAGAACTATTAGTTAGAGGTTCTTTTGTTGTTGGTCCGATGGATGACCTACAAAACGTGTTCTCCTTGTTTGGAATAGTTATTAATGATTTGCTTAGAATCTTTTTGTTTTCCTTCCTAGGATCAACCATGGCTATGCGATGTGTTCGGGTCCCCCTTTTTCATTTGTGGTTGGCTCCACAATTTGCTGTGTCCAATTCTACTTCATTCAGGATACCAACCAAAAACGCCCTATCAGTAGTGTTTTTTTATGGTTTTTAATTTTTTTGTTAAATACCATCCAAAAAGGTAATGCAAAAACGCTTACCAAGGTTCTTAGAATGAATGGAATTTCTACATTTTGTCAAGTCCTTTTTTTATCTACAAAAATTTGAAGAGCCACAGCCTCCGTCTCTCTACCTGAAAGTGGGTAGGGCAATGAGGAATGAGCAAAAGGAATGGAGTTGGCTGCCAAATATTCCTCCCTCACCTTGCTAGAAAAAAGAAAAGGGCCAAACTGCTGGCGTTAGCTTCCATCCATCTTTCGGTGCCTGCAAATGACAAACTGGAAAAGGAGAAAATCTTGACGCTTGCCAAACTGTTATGATTCACAGGGCACTAGAAAAAGAAAAGAAAAGGCCAAACAAATAATAATAAAAAAAAGGAAGCACGAATCTCTGCTTCACATTTCCTATTGCAAATTGATTCGATTTAAATTTTTATTTCTAGAGGAATTTTGTCAGTAAAATGACAAAATCATACTACTGTTTTCCATGTCTAAATTGAATTTGAATTTGTATATGTGTTCTTGTAGGGGCATGTTCCTTCACTAAGTCAAATCCTCTAGACCACCGACGAGCTTGAAAAACTTTACTCTTTTTTTTTTTTAAAGGAAGCTTGGAAAATACTTACTACTAGTCTAGTAGTAGACGTAGTATGGATACAAACGGATTTGGGGCAGGGACGGTCATCAGTATGACCGTCCCTGCACGGTTAAGGGCCAAGATTTGCCCTCAAAATTTTGTGCGGCTGAGATTACACCATGTAACTCGATTTCCGCGTCAAGTGTGGGGCCCACCACTATCTGTTGTGAAAATACATCCTGTGAAAAAGAAGTTACACGATGTACAAAGAAAGTTACGCAGTTGATAATGACTAAAATTGCTCAAGCATGTTTTATTTGCTTCAATAATTTTTCGTTTTTGTACATTAGAATCGAAGGGACCAGCCAGAGTTAATTGGCGTGGACGGACAAGTAAAGACTTTGTTCTATTGGGTCTTCGGATGGGCTGTGGGCCACTGGTGTTGGGCGTCGAGTTGGAATTTGAATTGGCCCAGTTGTTCTTGTATTATGCTACAATTTAAAACTCTTTTTTTTTTTTTTTTTTTTTGAGAGGGTACTACCATTAAAAACTTCGAACCGTTAATATATATAGTTGTACAACTTCTAAACCAACAGGACTGGGGACAGAGAGGAAATTAAAATTCATGAATTCATAAATCCGGACCAGCATTAAATTTTTATTTAAGAAAGAAGTAAGTATCTCTTTTCTTTGGGTCCATTACCCAGGCTAGCTACCAGGCACAACTTGCTACACCATCAGTTTGGTACCACTTTTGTCAAATCAGCTATTTGGAGTCATGTTTCAATTTTTCTAATAAAGAATTGCTTCTTTTTTTTTTAAAACAAAGTTATGCATTTACTGGACAAGAAAGCACAGTTATGATGGCAAGACATTTTACCTGTAGATTATGGTTCGAATCATCCAGAGAGTAGATTATAGGTTCGAATAATCCAGAAAGTAGATAAAGAACTGCCTTGCATTCACAAAATTGAAGCCAATCTGGGCTGGGTCTTAGAACTAGAATTTATTTTTTTGTATCCTAACTTTTCAATCAGACTAATCTCCTAAAATTGTGTAGTATCTTACTCTAAGAATACATAGCGAGGTAGCACACAAATATCGATTACGGGACTTGCTAGAAATCGTCAAATTACGGAACCAGTCCGAGGGAGAAATGAGAAGTAGATTAGAAGAAGTTGGAAATGTAATATAAACTAACATCCCCATGATCACAAAAATCAACATTGCCATTTTGCCATCAGCATCACCTCGACGATTTTGGCAGCTGTCGACTAGACATACATTTAATGGCAGAGGAAAATTTGAGGAAGCAACCCACATATAGCTCCAAGGGATCGATCATCTTCTTGTTGTTACTCGGCATTCCACTGGGCAGTATGATTCGAATTCGCATAGTCAATTCACAGGTCGCACTCATTTTATTATTAAAAACACAATAATATGTTTATTAAAAAAAAAACATAGTCAAGCCAATAAAAAATCCAACATCAAAAAAGAAAAATGTAAACTAGTATTTCTAAGATCTCTTAGAAGTCTAGCCTTTCCTTGGCTCAGTTTTTTGGGGAGTCCAATCTTGAAAAGCAGTAAAAGTCTCTAGCGGGATATCGAACACATGCATGCATTCTGATTTGGGTAAACAAAATGCATTTATTTAAAAACTAAAACGCCAAATCTAAAAACTGACAACAGCTTTTCTTTGGAGCATGCAACTCGTTGAAGCAATTGAGCACTAATTGAACAGTTTTTCGAGCCTTTACTCGCACATGTAAATTTCCTTTAATTAATGAAAAAATCCTATCGTTCCGTTTAAAAAAAAAATGCAACTCGTTAATGCGGGCCGTGTTCAAATCTACTACCAAGGAGCAAACTTTGGACCACGAGTCCAGGTCCCCAAAATTGCCCAAGATCTTGAAAATACACTTGGCTAAGCTGACGTAAGAGATGACAAAGGATAAGGTCATCAAGTCCTGGCTCTGCAACTGAAGCATAGGACAGGAAGCATGCGCTCCCTACTATTAGAAGGCATTATTTTTTACCATCAAAACAGAGCTTCCATAACATCCAGCGTTGAGTATTAATTATACATGGCCGGTAGAAGTAGCCAACTGCATTTAGCATCCTAAAATCTTAGATTAGAGCACATAAAACAGGTAAAAAAAAAAAAAAAAAAGAAACAAAATGCGTTAATGTTTGACGCGGAGGACACAAAGTCGAAATCACATTAATAATATTTGCTGATTAAAACCATTGAATGTCTGTCCGTACGACCGGATTTCAAGTGACAGTTTGAGGAGGATACAGTTCCCACATTGCCACAGTTGTGTCTTCTGACGAGGAGGCTAATAATTTGCTATCAGCGGAGAACGAAACAGTATTACACTGCAAAAAAGAGTACCCGCTATACATAAGATGAGATCAAGCACCCCTACAGAAATAACAAGCTCTATAACCTCTAAAGGCCGATTGAACTTCTGGGCAAGTATCATTGAACTTCAACTCCTACGTGCAGCTTGGAGAAAGTAAATCTCTCTCTTACCTTTTTCATCTTAGCATGTAAGCAGTAAATGAGACACGATCAACCATTAATGCATCGATGTTCCAGAAAAACAAGTTAGCTGCACTTCTAATAACTAATTCAAACAAATAACCTTCCCAGAACAGTGACTGGTCAAACAAAATCCACCCAGTTCTGGCTGCTAATCTTCAAAAGGAGTACAATTCTAGTATTTTGGATGAAAAAACTATACAACAAGCAACGGATATAGATTAGAAAAGCTGGCATACCGTGGCATGATGATATTTCAATATGGCCAATGCAATTCCTTTCCGATAATTGTAAACCCTGACTCTGTCACCAAAGGGATGAACATATACTGCTTAAGATTGGTAAAAAATTCTCAAATTCTTGGTCTGATAAGTAGTACGTGATATGCTTTATTGGAACTTTAACGTATAGAATTCAGATAATGCAGGAATGCCAAAACCATGACTATAATTCAAAGAAGCCAATCTTATCAGAAACAACCACCAGAACTCAACAAGGCTGGTTTTACACCCATCCACCCATGGGGCAGGGGAGGAGATGAGATTATTTCTGTGCTTTTGAAAGATCCAGCAGAACTTGGAATGAGTTTAAAAAATACATGGACGAAGGGCAAATATACCTCATCTCCTCCCCAATTTCTCTATAATGAATAAAATTTTATGTAAAGTAGCACACAAATAATTGTTACATTCGATGCCATAGATTTGCTCTCATACTGATGAGCTACCATATGGAAAAAACAAAGATGATTTTTCTGAACAGGGCAGCTCACAGAAAAAGTTCAAGAGTGACTAACCGGTGATCCCAGCCAGCAAATGCAGCAATTTTGCCATCTGGCCGGATTGATGTTCCTGCTATTCCAGGTCGCTCCAATGTAATTTCTTTCTTGACCAGTGCTGATCCCTATATCGCAAGCCGGTAGAAAGATGAATAACTTAGAAATTTGAAATTCAAGATGTTAAAAATGACAAAAAGTCTCTTCCTCCTGCCCGCTGGCCGCTGCTCAAAGAAATATTGCATGTCAATGATGCCTATCACATGCAGCTCAAGTTCAAACTACAATTCAATCATCATTTTTAGACCAACTGCAATTTAAATCCTTCAAAATTGCAAACCACAAAGTTCTGAACTTGTTTTTTCAGTAAGGTGCATCTAACACATTACAAACGAGCATAACATCTCGTGATCACTTGGCATTTGCCAGACGAGGAGGAGAAGACTATTATGAGACCACTTGGAAGTCAAGAATGCAAAATTAAGGAAAACAGTAATCCTCACACTAAGAAAATTAAAGTTCAAAATAGGCACCTTCTGATGTTAACTAGTCACCAATTGCAAAACAAAAGATTGCTGGATTGAGGTATATTAGCATCAAATTTACTTCAAGAACAGGAAATGAAAACACCATAGAGGAGCTGCCAACAAATGGCACATGATATTTTTATCTTGTCTTATATTTCATTTTTGCAAGGCAAAGGCAGCAATGACTAACAGCAGCATGCCACATCCTGTTAGCTGAAAGTGTAAAAATGCCATGCAATAAAGTGACTTAACAAGCTAGGGATAAGAATTTATCAAGCCTGAATTTACCAATTGATAATCCAAAGAGAAAAACACAAGTTTTTCATCAGCAGCTCCAGAGATACCACCACTGCATGCCCCATCAATACAAAGGCTCAAAACTGCAAAAAAGGAACAAGATCTCAATTTTTTTTTTGTTGGGTTTCTTGGGAGAGAGAAGTTGCAATCAACAAATAACATGATGTATATGGAGCCAGCACCAGTATACCTGGTTCTTTATGAAACTTAACAGAATTCATTGGAACCCCTGGATTCCTTACATCCCACCAAGCCATGGAACCATCCTCATATCTAAAATATTGAAACTATAAAGGGAGTGAATAAACTTCATTTGATAGTTTAAGAATTTCAATCAGATGTAAGGTACATCTGCTCTATGCAGACTCTAAGCAGCTGTTCCAGTGACATCAAGCATCTACCAATCACAGCAACTCAAAAATTATAAAGCCATTTAATCAGATAAAATGCGGCAAACAGTCATAGAGATGGTTTTTTAGGGGAAAAAGGGTTGTTGATTGTACCATGTTTGTGACAAGAATCATAATTCCAAGACCAAAGGATGACAAAGAAAAGGCTGGATGTTATATATCAATAAAGGGGCTGTACTTTGTGTATCCTTTTTCAAAAAAAAAAAAAACCATGAGGCTTTGACCGAAAGTTTCTTGTTCATATGGTGAATTTGCTTCATGTCTAAAAGCTAAGATTTTTGGTAAGGAGTAGTAACCTGAATGCAAAAAAGTTTGGGTGATTTTCATCAGTTATGCTGAGTGAAGAGGTGGGAGCAGCTTCAACCAGTTAAATATGCTGAAATCATTCTTTAAGGAAACCTGAACCACACTCATCAGGAAATATCCAATGATAAAGATAGCATTTGGGTTTCCCAATCATTTGTTGTCATGCCATCATGAGCACAAGCCCTTCCCCCAATTCTATAAGTGTTTCTACCCTATTGCAATAGAAGCTGAGTCCCAAGGCAGAAAAAAGATGAGCAAATAAAATGAAGACAAACCCGGTCAAAACATTTAGGTAGCCCTGTGATTCAGGAGATAAAAATGCTTGAAGCGCCATGCACATTCCTGGGGTGAGATATCAAATTAGGGGCAGATAGACAGAACTTCCAGCATGGAAAATAAAGGGAGACAACCACAGGGCTAGCCTACATATTGTCACACTTTCAATAACATAGAAAAGATGGGGGGGGGGTATAAGCAAAAAAATAAATAAGATGAGCCTTCAGTATATATGAAATAAATAGAAATTACAAGCAAATTTTATTTCCAGTATAGTAATCCAGAGCGTTCAACAGGTCACTTTGCAAAGTAAGTGCAGGTCATCATTTACAGAGTCAGAGTTTAAGAAAGTGAGAGACCATTTACATGGTGAGAAAAAAAATGGAGAATGCCAAACAGCAAAGTCAAAACCCCTCCATGGTTCAAGTCCTCGGAGCTAAAATCTTAAATCATTAATGATTGTAAGGATAAACTAAAACTAAAAGGATCCAAGGTCATAAAAATGTGGGGTAAAGCACTTTTGATATTTGTCAAAAAATTTCTAAAATTATCTTAAGGTGTAATAGCATTTACATAGCAACTGAAAGTATGCTGTGCTGGCACTTTAGAATATATATTCTATATGGATTTTAAACTTTTTTTCAATTTTCTAGGGATAGGCTTCACAACTGAACCAAGCAGCAGACAACTCTTAGAACTGCATCAACATGTAACATATTCTATTTACTGTCTAAGCAACTTTCATCTCGAAAAGAGCTGATGGGTATGAAGATATGTTATTAACAATAGAATATCCTGATTGATCACTTTACAAGATTGAAATTATGCAATAATGCTAAAGAATGTTGAGTCCAAATAGATGTCCAAATAAATTAAAGGTCCAAAAAATCAATGTCGAACGGTAACTTCAAAAACTTTCTTCAGAAACTATTAGTTGGCAGATACATGAATTTTCTCTAATATGATGTGGTAAAAATCAAAGTCCATATGAGTGATCATGAGTTCTTGAACAATCAATATAGGGTATCGTATTACACCCCCATCAGACGTTACTTCTTTGAATCGTCTCTTTTCTATATTCAGTGTCAATATGCAATTTTCAATTTCATACATTGTCTAATTCTGTGCACTAATAAGTGACTCGAAGATGGGGATGTACATAAATGACCTAAAATCATGTTTAAAAATATGGAGTACATTATCAGTTAGTAAACTACACTGTTAACAAATAAAATATAGCAATTTCACTAAACCAGTAAAACATTGGCAGATAGTTAAGAATCTGACCTCTAGCCTTCGTAGTTGTGTTAGGCAAGCCAGAAGACAAATGAGGTAGTTGCAGAAACTTCTCAGCACTTGCTAGATCCCAAAGCTCAACCTAGCATGTTTGATCACAGAGGTCATATCCACGGAAACTATAGATGCATGATAAGCTGCTTTTAGAGCATGAACTAACCACAGAAGACTGCTCCCCTGAAACAGCAACATATTTTGGTCCTTTTACTTGCTCACTATCTAAGATATAAAAAGATATATATCAGTCAATCTTCATCAGTGTCGTCACCGCCATGCACTTTTGAGGAGAACTAAATTTCCTAAACAGTATTTCCTTATAGATGAGCTTGAAAGTAGGATAAATATGACAGATAATTTGTCTTCAGGATGAATTTCTTCAAGTGCCAAACTAAAACTTGTCAGGGAGAATGCTACAGAACCACCTGAGTGGAACCATAAGATAAGAAAAGTGAAATATAAAGTATAGTTCATAAATTTGAAAAGCAGCATGAGGTTAAGAGAAGGGAAGCTCATTGGGAACGTCAGTACAGGTAGATTGTACATAACGATGGACAAAGAAGGTTGAGAGCAATGGGATCATAAAAGGAGAGAGAAGAAGAGAATATAGAAGAGACCTTCTATACTCTCCATTTGATTTCCTTGAAATGTAGTTTCCCCACCCTCTGCATCTTGGCAATTCTCTGGTACTCCAGTTTGGCATGGGCCAAAGGCAAATTTCTTTACCAATGAAAGCTTGCAGAAATGGTAAGAGTTTGTTTTAATTGTAACTAATGGATTCCTGTTCAAGCAAAAACTAGATTTTAACCTGCTTGTTTATATTGAAAAGGGAAAAAGGGCAGAAATCAGCTCATTTCAACTTAAAGTGAAAAAATAAGTAATGCATGCAGCAAGCTAAAAAGGTCAATGCAAAAGAGATTGTCAAGTAATTTTCAAGTATTTTTTGTTTGCTTCAAAATCCAGTACAACTTAAATGCGTCAATTCTTCTCAGTCACATAAGAAGTTACTAGAATTAAAGTTGGATAATTTTTTCTCTCATGAGCATACAAACCTCACCAGTCCTCTATACCTGCTTTACTTGTTGGACCATGAAACATTCAAAAGAAATTTCAACTCAAACCAGTCGATGAGAACAGTTCAAAGAGATAAATAAAGCATAGAAATTTCAACACAAGAAGGAGCTGATGGACAAATAGAACCTCCACTGTTTATTTGCAATTGGACCACTTACTGGCAAAAGATATTTGTTGTGTTACCCCAATTTGCTGTTCGAAAATGGTATACCAAGCATAGGCACGTTCTTACCTTTCCCAATGCTTTGAGTTTTAAAAAAGGAGTCATAGGATCTGATCCAATTAATTGCTGCTTGAACCTCTTGGTGATGATTAATACTCCATATGGTTAACTTTCCTTTGCAAGCTTGATTTGGTTCATTCATTAATCCAACTCCCACACGGAGAGGAGGCAGCAGAGAAACATGCAAAAAATCTATTCTACTTCCAATTATCAGTTGATCGACTTGTACCTCTAGAATATAAGGTGAAGCAATCTAGCTTATGACAATTTTCAAACCAAAACTGCCATATTCAAGCACTAAGAACTGACATTATGCTTACATTTCATTAGATTCTGCATCTTAGGAACAACTGAACCCCAAAATCACACATAAACAAGTAGAAACCAGAAGGAAAGCTAAATACCTGGAGAGATCCCATCTCCAATATCCCAATACTTCACAGTTCCATCCCTGCCCTGACTGCATATATCAGAGCCACAGAGACCAATAAGCACCAAAAGAAACCAGAAATGCATGAAGTCACTTTGAGCCACATAAACACAGACAAGTAACCTACAAAATTGTAATCCATGTATGATGACACAAACCAATATAAAGTATGTGAGTAAAGGAAATGAACCTAACTACTTTGTCGTCTCCAATCAAAGGACTAGCCGCAAGACCAATAATCCCGTGTGCTGCATTATGCACCCTGTAATCATTCACAAAATTTTATCACATCTCATGTGTCATAATAATTCTCATGATCTTTGTATTTTTCTTTTATTGATCACTTTTCAGTTACCTTTTTGACTTTGGTTATGCATTCACAAAACCAAAAGTGAAAGACTGACTTTTAAATCAATAGATAATTTCTTATACTTCATAATCCGGCTTCCATAATTGTGACCAACATAAAAATAACAAAGGGTTATTTGAATAGTTCATTGGGAACATATTTCGTGTAAGAAATAATACAAAATAATGCGTCCTATCTGACTAAATTCTAATTCATTACAATGCAGATGAAATTGTCCGGCGCTGTACACTATCCCAAATGCGCAATTCACCATCTGCAGCCCTGTAGAAAAACAAGCACCAACCAATTATACGCAAGAAGTATCTAGGAGCACGTCTGAATCTATGCAATGAATGTTCAACGGTCATTTAACAATTTCAGCTAGAAGTACGGCAAAGTGAACTTTTTACACAAGTACACACCCAGAGAACAGTATGTTCTTGGAGGGATGGAAACAGACGTCCATAACAGATGCACGGTGGCCTCTGAGCACAGCTACCGGGTCCGGCGGAGGTCTCTTGCTCATTCTGTAATCTTCCTCTTCCTTTATGGCTTTCCAACGCAAAGCCTGCCATTGCAGCATTTTGTCAACCACCTTATCAGAATTACAGAATCTCTACCGTTGCACATCCGTTTAATTAAAAAGAAAAGGAGAAAGAGTTCAATTACTTTTCATTAATATGGTAATTATGAACAAGATATGCACTCCAAGGAAAAATTTCTGGTATTAATTTTGTACGAGTAAACAGAAGGCATACTGAATAATGCTGTCCTTACTTGTGGGAGGGTGTGGAAGCGTGCAATTTCTTCGAAGTTCTAGTCTCTAGATTCTGATTCCACGAATTTCCAATCATAATCAGACGTTTGGAATTTGGTGTGGGATTAAATATTAAGGGATGGATCAGTTGACTTTAGATAGAAAGATTAACATGTTAATTAATGGTTTGGTGAGAAGGTCCATTTTTGAGCTTTCCCGTCAAGTCCTCGGCCAACGGCGAATACGAAGGCGTGAGTTTCCTGTCACGTCCACTTTTGAGCTTTCCCGTCAAGTCCTACGCAAGGATGGATTGAACGATTCGGTTCTGGACCTTCTGGCTTAGAGGGTTTGAGACAAAAATAGATTAGAGAATTTGAAATTTCTATTTCTTCTCTTTTTTGGAAATTCGTGAAAGAAACTAAACAATTTCGGACATACAAGTCATCAACCGTGAAAATTGGTTTATCTGGAGTCAAAATATCGTGAAGACACGTGGCAAAAGAAAATAGAATGGAAAAAGCATAAATCCTTCATTGATACTAAGCGGATCCATAATTTGCTTTTACCATTAAATTAACTATGAGCTTATGAACTTAAAACCTCCTAAAATCAGGGCATATGTTTTGTAAGAGATGGCTTGAAAGTAAGCAATTGTACGTACAGCCGTAGAAAAGTTATAGATAATACAAAAGATGTACAGTAAAATTCTCTCATTATAAAAGAAAAAGGGAAAAAAAGAATGCTAAAAGGCTCTTAATAGAAAGCGTTCTTTAAATCATTTTTTTTCAGATATATGAGAAGAACATTTTTTTTTTTCAAATATATGCGAAGAGTAGGATAAAATGTAAATTCATCTCTAATAACTCTGGATGGTCTTATTTGTCTTTTAAATTAGTCAATTTAAATCTAAGAGTTAAAATATAAATCACCTATTTTATTCTTCTTTAACATTTTGTCATGTGGATTAAAAGCTTTTATTTTACTTTTTTCTTTCCTGAACCCCAAACTATTCTATAGGCATAGGAAGTGGTCATAAAGTTTGAGTTTGTGACAATTTCATATTTCAAATAATGCCTTTTAACCTATTGGTTGGTTATAATTATTTTTTTTAAAGAAAAAGGAAGTTTTGGACTTTTTGTTATACTCCATCCGTTCCAATTATTTAGTCATGTTTGACGAATCCAACCTTTTAAAAATAATGGTTTGATTTTAATATTTGCACTTTTTTTTTTCAAATTTACCTTCATAAATTCAAATTTTAAATTTAAATGGTAACATGTATATGATTAAAAAGAAAACCGGAGAGGATTGGGTTGGATAGTACAAGGGGAAAGAGTCTAATTAGAGGTCTCGGATTCGAGTCCTCTCGCATAAACTACAAAAAAAAAAGATTTGAAATAAGGGTTATATTGGAAAGAAAAATTAAAAGATATTTTGATTTTTCAATATCTTAAATATTTTTAAATATTTTAAAATGAAAAGTATGATACTTTCAATAAGAGACGAAGAAGTATTATGCCTTCAAAATGCACCCACGGAAATAAAAGGTTACGCCTTCAAATAAAAACACGCGAAAAGCGCACCATTCCAAATTTCCGGTAAAATAAGCCAACTCATTATCTTTAATTAACTAACAAAAAAGATTATCATGTACTGTACTAAATTTATTAATCACAATAATCTTGGAAAGAAGCAAAAGTAAAAAAGAGAAAACGAAAAACACGAAAAATCATCCACCATCTCACTCTACACTAGAAGCAGCGCGCTCGAGAATTCAGCCGACGACGATCCCATCTCAAAAGTCACGTACCACAGGAAACGCTTAACGCTCGCTCCTTACTCCGTCTTGGCGTCTTCGTTTTCCGTTAATGCAGAAAAAAGCCCTATTCATAGCTCCACCACTTCAGGTCTGATCCTCCTCCTTTTCACGCCTTCTGTCGGTTGAGTTCGTATCCTTTCGCACAAAACCCTAGCTTTCACTTTTGTTTTTTTTTAATTCTTGTGATTTTGTAAATAGCTGTAATTTCTGTTGTATAAGTGGAACTAATGAGTATGAAAACTGCCGAATGGATGACTCAATTGTTTTGAAGTCGATATTTTAATTCTTTTTGAGAATAGGTAGTGTTTTAATTTTCCTGTGAAAATTTTGGGTTTGAGTGGCGGTCGCAGTTTGTGAAAGAGCTGAGAATTTTGCTGTCGATTTTATTTTAGGGTTGAGTTACTTGTGAATTGACAGATGAAGGTATATTGTTTTGGTTTCTGGTAAATGTGATATTGAAGTTTGCTTGTTTGGATTCCCTCAGGAATAATTGAATGATTGCATGATGGCTCCAGTTTGAGGAGAATTTGGGGCTGGGGTTCGATGTGGAGAGACGCTGTTCAAAAACCCTAGGGTTAGTGAGGATGGAAGGGGAAGAAAAAAACAAGGTTGGTTTGAAGAAAAGGGTAAAGCGGATTGAAATTGGGATTGATTCAGATGATGACGAACCTATTGGGTCATTTTTGAAGCTGAAAAGTAAAAGAAACCCCAAAAAGAATAAGGTGGTTTCAGATGGCGAAGACAAAGGGAAAGGAGTTGATAAATTGTCGGTTGAAGATCAGGATTTGGTTGGCATGGACGACACATTAGCAAGCTTTAGGAAGAAGCTGAGAGCTCCTAAGAAGGAAGGTGGGCCTGCTCTGGTGGTTGGAGGGGGTTAGCTAGTACTGTGGCAGAACCATCAGTTCAATCTTTTACCAGACAGGGTCTTGGAGATTTGGTTTCAAAGGTTATAGAAAAAGTCAAAGTAGACGATGATGGATATACAGTTGACAAAGGCTTAGGACTGGGGGCTAGAAGGAAAGATAGAAGACCCAAAGTTGCAGCAGTGTCAAAGGATGTCAGTGCTGACTCTGTGTCTAACAATATTTCAGATTGCCAGCCTTCTGGTGAGGGTTCATGTGAGAATGAGAAGGATGGGGATTTAGGGCTAGGAGACGGTCCTAGTAACTGCTTAGAGGAAGGCTTAGAAGATCGGTTATCTGCCTTTTTCCGCAAGGCGCAATCTGGTTTCATTAGGAAATCGTGCAATTCTTTGAGATTGAAATCTGGAAATGAAACTCAAATTTCCCGTAATGGTGTCTCAGAAGATATTATGCCTGAGTCAACTAGCAAGTCTCGATCTGCTTCGAAGTTGGCCAATGAAATAGCTGAGTCTAAACAGTATTCACATCTAGCATCTGGTAGAGGTAAGATAGGTTTAACAGTGGGTGCTGATAAGGATGATGAAATTTTGCAGCAAAAATTTTCCAGTAGATCCAGTGACGATGTAGATGACACATCATCTGAAAGAATTTCATATAATTTAGTTCCCATGTCTAAAATCCAAGGATCTCAATCTAGTTTAAGGGGGTGTTCTGATACCTTCATGCAAGTCCAAGGTGCTGGATTGACTTCTCATACACAGATTTCATGTAGCTCTGAGCACTGTTCAGGGGAAAGAACTAGTGCTTTATTGCACGCAATGGAAGTTCCAGTTGCTGTTTCTGTGTCGGAAGGATTGGAGAACCATCATACTGATGAGGGTCCTTTGGCGCGAGTGCACAATAATGGGCAAAATTTACGGTCAGATTTTACTTCAAGTAATGATGCATCAAACTTGGAGCTGAGAACCTGCAATAGTGTTGGTAAACAGTTTCTGCAGGTTTGTTTAGATGACGACACACTAAACAGGTCATGTGAGGATAAATTCCCAAGCTCCAATAGAAAGGTCTGTGGAGAGACTTTGGAACTATCAATATCTCAAATGGGAGATGAAACAACATTTGCGGGGAAGATGGATACGGCTGATGATTCAAATTCTGGTCCGCCTGGGCAATATTCTGCTCAAGCTCATGTATTTTCTACAGCTGATTCACCCAATAAGATTTCAAATCATGACATGGAAATTTGCACTGCCGAGCCAGATACTGCTTCAGTTTCTTCAGAAAAGGAAGATGTCATGGAGGGTAGTTTATCTCCAGCATCAGCTTGTGGAATCACCCAGTATGAATTTGCTCCTCGAGTGAAGCAACAGGACGGACCCCTGAGGCACGTGGGTGAAGCCGATCAGCTTTCTCAATGTCAAACTCCCAATGACTCTTTAATCTTGATTGATAAATGCAGTTCTGGCTTTTACCAAAATAAACCTTTTGATGGAGTGTCAAAAGACGCATCCTTTCCAAGTCTGGACTATTTTTCTGCTGAGGAAGAGGTTAAGGGAGCCTCTTCACCATCAGACATGCCAGATTCTAATGACAGTTATGCAGAAGATGCAGGATTGTTTCCTGATCCCGATAATAAAACCAACAGCACAGAAGTTGGTGGGCGCCGCAAGCCTAGGAAGCGTAGGCTTGGAGATATGGCGTATGAGGGTGATGCTGACTGGGAGATCCTAATCCATGGGCAAGATTTTCTCATTGACCGTCAGGTTGGAGATGATTTCCAGTCTTCCACAGCAAGGGAAAAATTGAGTCCTTCTCTGTCTAACACTTCAGAAACTGAAAATGGAGGAGCAGCAGCCATATCAGCTGGCCTAAGAGCTCATGCAGTTGGTCCAGTTGAAAAACTTAAGTTTAAGGAGGTACTGAAGCGCAAAGGAGGGCTGCAGGAATATCTAGACTGCAGGTCATTACTTAACTTTAATATGCTTGTGTTTGCAAAAATTTCTCTCCTTATATTTGCCTGTTTTATTTAGATGTTTGCATACGCCATCTTTTACCATATGTTTGCAGTTACGTTGTAAAGATTTGAGGATGTGATATTTATAATCACCTACTATCAACTATCAACTCCTATTTGCTTTGACGGGTATTACATGTTTGATAGTACCTTTGTTGTTTTCACTTGATCAGGTGTTTCTGATTTTCTTTCCTCTTTATTGTTTTGTTGCTGAGCCTGATAAGATTCTTGTGGCTCTAATTGTGAATTGTAACAATTAGGTTAGTTTGATTTAAAACTGGCCTAGTTTGTTGATTATGAAGTAATTTGTTTTGATATCATTTCTCTGCCATATGCTATTCCTTAATCTCACTTGGCTTTATTGAGGAATAAGGTTCGAGTAAAGTAGCATCCATGCCCTAAGTTAGTGGTAGAGAATTTCGTCGTGTAAGAAACCTACACTACTCTATTTTGACCTAAGAACCAGTTGTCCAACAATTGGACCAGAGAAGAACTTCACATTTATGAAGCAAGGAGATGGTCAGAGTTGGAGTGGATGAATCAGCCATACATATGTATGTAGTAAATACGAGCTTTATGGTGGCTTAAGCACCAATGTGGGATTGCATTATGAACTCAGTTTCTTGGAAAAGAACTTTGTTTGGGTTTCTGTGCCTGGCCGTAAGACAGTGGACTATAATAGTTTTGTATTGCTGGTCC